GGGCACTGCAGCCTAAATTGAGATCTGGTTTCTCCAGCTGCAGGCAGAAATTACATGACTGATGCTATGCCATGCTCTCTGCAAAGGCGCTTTATGAATGCCAAGCTTCTTTATGTGTTGCAACAGGGCAGCCTGGTATGTCACTGCTTCTATTCATTCATCAGTTAGATCAGTCTTTCTCAACCTTGGCAACCCTAACCCTAACCCAAGGTTGAGAAACATTGTACAGGTAGTCCTTGCTTAACGACCACAATAGGGACCAGAACATTGGTTGTTAAACGGGACAGTCAGTAAGCGAGTCACCACATAACTGGACCTCATTTTACGACCATATCACGTGGTCGTTAAGCAAATCTACCTTCCCCAATGGACTTTTGCCAGAATTTGCTTAACAACCATTGTAATAAGGTTACAAATTGCAATCACATGGCTGCGGGGGGTAGTGTGATGGTTTGTGACAGTCACAAGTGTGAGTACAGGTCGTAAAGCACTTTTCCCGACGCCGTCATAACTTTGAACCATTGTTAAACGAATGGTCATTAAGTGAAGACTACCTGTATTAGAGAGCAGCCAGGCAGCTCTGGCTTTTGAGAGAGATCCCAGGATAAAAGAGGTTTCACAACTACTTCCCCTTTCCCAGAGAGTTCTGGACTCTGCCAAGGCACTTCCTTCACTACAATCAGTAAGATTAGCAGTCGTTTCTTAAGAGTGAAATCGCCAAGGGAAAGGCAGCTTAGCCAGCTAAGTAGACCTGCTCCTATTCCCAAGAAAGGAGTGGTGGCGTGGCGCAACAATTCAAACGATGCCACGCATTGTCCAGGCAGGATGCCGCCCGCCTCTGCGGAGTCAGAACACCCATCTGATTGTTTTTAGGATAATGAAAGTAAACATCTGGCGGGAGGGTTTTTCAGCTGTGATGGAAAAACAGCTTGCTCTCCAAACTTCCTGAAGGTGGAAAGCTAGCAAAGGGGCCTTGCCAACACTGATAAGCAGCAGAAATGTAAGCTAGTGGGCCTATGGGGGAAGAAGGTTTACGTTACTCTGGGATTCATGATGGGGAGAACATGGCCACCACTATCAAGTTGGCGACACAGTTTCCACCATCCCAGGGAGACCTAGAATCACAGAAGGGAAGATTGGAAGGGTTCTTGAAGATCATCTAGCCCAACTCCTTGAGGAATACAGGAACCCACTACTATCACATCCCTGACAGGCGGCCATCCAGTCTCTCTTTCAGCACTTCCAGCAGAGAACCCACCACATCCTAGGGTAGTTTCCTCCACTGCTGAGGTGCTAGGGATTTTTTCTTGATACCCATCTGTGGGTCTTAAAGGCACCCCTGCCTTGATGCTAGAAGCTGGCGTTGCTTTGCAGCAGGCCACTTCTCAATCAATCAAAGCAAACTTTCCTAACAGCCTGATGAGACAGGGAGTTTGGGACGTAGCGGTGGCTTTTCAGGGAAGAGGAACACAGCTGCACCTCCAGCAGTTGGGTTCTGAACAAGTCAAAGGAGAAGCACCGGCTATTTGCAGAAGATGAGTGTGCTCTGTCCCCAGGAAGGAGAAGCATTCTCCAAACCAGTGTTTCTCAACCTCAGCAACTTTAAGATGGGTGGACTGCAACTCCCAGAATTCCCCAGCCAGCATGGCTGGCTGGGGAATTCTGGGAGT